GCTCTTGCGGCACCGGCAGCGGCGCCGGGTCCGACAGCGGCTGCAAGTCCGGCGTCACAGGAGCCGCGGGCATCGGTCGTGGAGACAAGAAAACAAACGGCGGCGCGGGAGACACCGGTCCTCCCCCATGAAGACATTGGGAGACGGAGGAGACGCTGGCAACGGGTCCTGGCGCGCACGGGCGAGATCCCCGGACGCCGAGGGCGTGTCCGGCGCAGCATCGCGAGCGGCAGTAAGGCGCTGGAGCTCGTTGACGTAGTAGGCCTGCATGTGAGCTTCGCGCTCGGCGAGGCGTTCTCGTTCCACGCGCATCTCTTCTTGTACCAGTGCTCTTTGCGCCTGCATTTCGTGGGCAAAGGCCGCGGACGCTTGCTCGTAAACTTGACGTTGACGCGCATCGAGGTACCCAAGGGTATCACGCTCGACCTCCGTGCGAAAGGCCGCGGCTTGTTGCGAGAGCTCATACGCGCCCTGCTGCACTTGCAGCGCCGCCTCTTGTTGCAAACGCGCCGCGAGCGCTTGAGCTTCGTGGTGCGCCGCCGCCTGAATGGCGTGACGCTCGTGATCCAGCCGGGCCCGTTCTTGCGCCATTGCCCGCTCGGTCTCTTCTCGTGCGCGTGCCCATATGCGCAACTGCTCTTCGTGGGCCCACTGCGCGTTGACCGGCTGCGGTTGGGGCACATGGGTGTGATGCACATGATACGACGTGTACTGGTGCACCGGCTGCGTCACACGATGGCCGTTGTTGATGATGGTAGACAACGTCTGGCGATGGTGGTACGTGCCACGCGGTCCCGAGCTGCTTCCATGCGGCCCGTGATGACCCGAGCTGCCGAATGTGATCGTCTCCGACGACCCGCTGCTCGTTGTTGGCACCGACATCGACGCCGCGTACGTATCCGTCGGCAGCGCCGGCGCGTACGCTTGGCCAGACGGACCCGCAAACCCGGGTGCGTAGGCCGGCCCTTGCGCCATCGGCGCGGGCTGCATGGGGTGACCGCCGTAGGCTGCGCCTTGCGGATACCCTTCCAAATGTCCGAACGTCTCCGGACCACGGGGAGGCGCCTGCTGCCTAACGGCACGGCCACCGACCTGCGCTTCCGCCGCGTCCACACGCGACGGGACATAAGCTTGAGGGGCTTGGTAGAATCCTTCCTCGAGCGTACGGTCGGACAACGTCGCCTGGCGCGGGTCGTAGACCGTGTATGGGACTTGGGCGTACGTCGTGCGCCGTGGGTCCATGATTCAGCTGGTTGAGATCTTCGTAGTCTTGCACGTGACTAATAATATTATTGTTGTGCCGTCGGGGTTCACTGCCGACGCAAGGTCTGCTCTTGATGAGGATGCACCGCTCTTCAAAGGCAAAACGAAAAACTGAATTCGATGGTTAGAGAAACTGTCCTTGTCCATTCGCAGTCTGGCCAGTCCGCCAGCCAATGGGAGGGCAGAACGGGCTTGGACTGCCACGTGGACACAACAGTCTCAACCAAGATGCACGTGCTGGGGGCAGCGCTTGTGCACTGGATCAACCATGGGCTTCGCGGCTTGCGCCTCTCCGACGTTGGATTGGACGATTCTGGCGCGGCCGTGCTGGCGACGGTGCTGCGCCACGCCTCGAATACAGCGCCTTTGACGCTCTCGCTGGTCGACAATAATCTTTCCCTGGTCGGTGTCATTGACCTCCTCGCCTCTCTCGCGTCGTGCACATGTGTGCGCGCTGAAATCGAGGTGTCCGAGACCCTCCAAGGACACATGGACGAGCTCGTCGCCGTCGCCACCAATGTCGGTATCAAAGCGATCTGCGACGACGACGTCTTCGAATTCTATAGCCCGCTTGCGATATAAAGCAAGAGTTAAATGAATATTAATGCACAATACAATTGATCGTCATCATTTTTCTAGTTACCACCGACACGGTCGCAGATAGCTAACGGTTGCGGCTGTGAGAGTTTAGGGTCGCCTATCCTGGCCGAATTTGTTTATTTTGACTTTTGAGTCGATCTATTATTGAATGTCAAACCTTGTGACGTCGCGATAATAATACTTGTTGAGCCATGCGTTGGTTCTTGGCGCCACGCGCAAGATCGCACCTCTTTATCCGGACCCAGATGCAACACTGGCACTGCCAAATCCTTTAGTGGGTTTCCTCGACGCTCTACATTGCATGAATGGTCATTGTACAATTGCGGGACCAGTGTCTACTGCCGACAATATTGAAGCCAATCACATATCTTTAAACCTGGTGCGATGATATCCGGCGATATTGTCGGACCTGGTACCCATATATCTGAGACGAATGCGGCGTCTCTCACCTGCGAGCCCATGCTTCGTACGTCGAACGATCATCTCTAGTCTCTTCTAATATTTCCGATCGAATCCATCCGAATACGCAGCGTACTGTCAATCTCGGCGTGTTGCAAGGGTCGAGCGCGGCTCCAAAAACACAGGTAGTACGTGGCAACACGTGCGCTTAAGATGCGACCACATTCGGCCAATCTCCTGTCGTCGTATCCGGAAAGATCGCGAACCTGGGGCGCGCATCGTATCCGGAAAACCCCACATCTCGTCACGCTGCCGGCGCAACAACGTTTTCACGCGTTGCTCTCGTACACTCCGAAGCGTTCAACATGGTTCATTGCTCGTATAGGCGCTGCCTACCGGCTTCCTCCAGGCAGCAGCCCAGAGTCGACTCTGTCGGCTCCCGCGTCGCGACAGGCGGGAAACGACCAACATTCCTGTATCATTGAGATTTTTGGCCAATCCGAGCTCATTTCCGATTTTGACCTGGCGGTCGCAGCATGCCCGACCTCGACTGCGCGCCGATGGACCCAGCGTCGGCGCCGTACGAGGACGCGCTCGAAAGCATCCCGCGCGATGCATGCGCCACGTTCGAGTACGCGTACATGGGCCGCCTGGACGACGCCATGGCGCCGGGCCTCGTCCTCGCCGCCTTCCCCGGTCGCCGCAAGTGGTCCCAGGATGCCCGCGTCCTCGACGCTGTCCTTGCCAACCACCCGTCCGGCATCCTACCATCGACGTCTCTGCAGCAGGACAATGGACGTGACCCGCCGCCGACGATGTGGACGCTGGGCCTCGGCCGCACGTTGACGGACCACTTTGCGTGGGGTAGCAACAACGTCGTGGCCGTTCTCTCACACGTCGCGATTCGCCGACCAGCGTCGGACGCAGCGCCGCTCGAGCCCTTGCTGCGTGACCGAAACAGCGCCGGGACGCTCCTCGTGTCGCTTCCGACGTACCTTGAAGGCGGTGCCCTTTCTGTGCACTTCAACGGAGCGAGAACCGTGTCGGACAACGACCACCGCGTCTGCAGCACGTACTCGGTCACGGTCGCGCACCGCGCCGCCACGCTCGCGATGGCGCCGATCATGGCCGGTCACGCCGTCGTTGCTGTCTATGATCTCGTCGGTGACAGTGCCATGTCCGCGTCTACCTCGCCCATCTCACCAGGTGTGCTCGCCGCCATCGCGATGCTGACCACTATCGCGACGGCGCCGCCGACCAAGTACCCTCTTCTCGGCTTTGGCATCCGTCCTAGCTACACCTTTACGACGTTCGACGACCTCGGAAGCGGCAGCCAAGAGCGAGCGTTCGTCCATGCTTTGGTCGCGACCGAGATGTACGACGTGGCCATGGTGCACTACCTGCCTGTCCCAGCCGACGACGACGACACGGGTCCCTTTGTGATTGCACGCGCGGCGCTGCATCCAAGTCTCGGCCTTCCGAGCAGCTGCGCACTGGCGTTGCGAGGGCGTCTCGTCCCCGCCTTTCTGTGCTCGGTCCGCGTCGAGGACCTGCGCCGATCCCGCGACTACCGCAGCACAAGCCTCGTGTTCTGGCACAAGGTGCATCGCCCGATCGTGCTGGGGTTTGAAGCCGCGACGGACGCGCTGGCCACCACGCCTGAGAAGCCCATGCGTCGCGACCTCGTCGAGGGCCTTCTCGAGCACTACGTCGATGCATGTGATGCTATGGCCGCAACCCGCGAGATGTGGGCTTCCACGGCAACACTCGCCCAGCAGCTGAACGCGTTCGGAGACGTCCATCTCGTCGAAAAGCTCTGGCACACGCTCAG